CTCTGCCAGGCACCCATCACTCAGAAGCACAGGTTTGACTGTTTTATTATTAGATTAAAGACATTCTGAGGGTGAACATTATCTTAAGGATCATTATTGTTACACTTATTTTTACATCTAGAATGTATAAATGAATATGCATTCATTTATATTTTGTGAATGATGAATGAATGAATGAAATATGTATTCCCAATGCTACATTTCCATCACAGTTCATTCCTTAGGGGAATCCATGGGGCCTCTAACACAGTAAATAGTGAGGTGCTCCATGAACAAATGCATCCCTCATTGGCAGCAGCCTGGATTTCCTACTGGCTCCCCTCTTTTCATAGCTAGTGTCTTAAGGCTAGAGAAAGAACTGAGGGGAAAGGGTCGAAAGCTGGCAGAATCGTAGCCTACCAGTTCACCTTTGCTCATGGCTTTGCCTATGGTTGGATTGAGAGCCTGTTAACTTTCTAGGGAACCAGCTGCTTCAGTTTCCAGGGGATCATGGAGGCTAGAGAAGGATGATTTTCTTTCTTTACTGAAGAGTTACCTATTAGCTCAATGGGATAGCTCAGGATGTCAGTCCCCAGGAAGCTAGCTCAGGGATTTACTCAAATTGGTGGAAGCATTGAAACTGGATTATGGGAGACATAAAATCCAGCCTTTCCACTCAAGAAGCAGAGGCCAACAGCCAGGCAATGCTGGGAACCCTTGGAAGAGGAAAAATAAGGGCCTCCAGGCTGTACCCCCATGAGTAGGGCTGCTCGCCAGAAATTGATGTTCAGGAGACAGCACAACCTCTCAAATAGCCCCTGAACCTCAGCACCTGAGAGAACGGCCACTGGGGAGTGCGGAGTGCTCATCCTGTACCAGTGACTGGATCTCATCTCCTATCAGAGCTTGTTATCACAGCTCAGAAAAACCATCTGCAGCCCGGAGTTCCCCCATAGGAGGAAAGGGATGGGGGCATTGGTGGGATGTGGGGGGAGGAATGGCCTGGCACTTCAATGTTGAAAGTGAGTAAGTTTATTAAGTTCTGGCTCTCTGATGAATGCATTGTGCTCCTCCGAGGACCCCAGGCAGGGATGGGGAGCTGGGAGGAGTTGGTGGGTGGAGAGAGTGTGGAATGACCCAGGGCTCTGCATGCAGTGAGCTAAATGCTGAGAGTGACTTTGAACCCCTTCTCTATTTTCTCCTATTTGCTGGGGGTCAGGGAGAGGGCTGGCAGAGTGGGGGAGGAAGAGGAAAGATCAATGGAAGTAGGGATGGAAGAGCATATTTGGTACATTATATGCAATGTGAGCTACTCTTTCTTTTGTTCATTTGTTTGCTCTTTAAAAATTTTAAATGGTGGAAGTAGTATCCAGTTCAGCAGCTCCGTCTCTTTTCCAGCCCCCAAGTTTTACTCACTTTTGATGGAAGGTTTGAGTCACTCTGCCATGTAAAAAACTATGACCAGATGAGATGTTGGCTAAGGGCAAAAGGAAGGTGCAAAGGCTAGTGGAAGAAAGTTATAGACACTAACATGGTCCCATGACCTATGGCACAAAGGGGATCTCTTGTAACTATGCATACCTCTTCCTTGCTTTATCTGTATATAGGTATACATATCAGTGCCTTTTTTCTCCTCCATCGCTCCTCCATCTAATATAAAGTGGTTAACTCTGTAATTTGACATTTAAGTCATAGGATATCAAAGGAAGATTTAATCCGGACTAAGTGAATATTCCCAGAACTAAGGTGACATATGGGACACTGTCTTTCTAGGGGAAAGGTGACTTGTGTAAGGGATGGTTTTGTCGTTTTAGAGATAATGTGATGTTGCAATTGCCCTTTTGGGAAGTTCTCATCTGGGTTGAGAGGCATGCACTGTGCTCATTTGTTTATTTTCAGCTCAGCATCAATACCATCCTTTTCTAAGCTCTCCTTTGCAATGCAGATGAGAAGCCAGGACCCATGTTTCTTGCAGTCCTCTTTCCTGTACAGCTCTGGCTGGAGCTTGACCACGAGAGGTTCTCAGGTGAGATGTGGAAGACGGAGAAGGCAAAGTCGTTCTCCAGACACCAGGCTGTCAGGTGTGGAGGTAGCTGTGCTTCTCTGTGAGCTCAGGAGTACCCCGCCTCCCTGCTGCAGCCTGAGGGGGTGGCAGCTTCCTGGAGACCCCAGAATTTCAGGAGTTACCTGCCAGTGAGTCCCCTACTCTTTTCTCTTCCTGCTCTCACAAAATTTGTGTAAGACTTTAAGATTGCAGTATATATTCCAGGAATACATGGTAAAGTGTTTTTCTTTTTCCCTGAGAAAGTGGTTACAGGGCATGGACTGGAGCGGGCCTTTATCTCTCACACCACCTGACAACACTTGGCTTCTGACTGACCTGAAATTTTCAACCAGCAGGGCTTGCTGCTGTGAATTCTGTCTGAGTGCCAAGGGAGACATGGTGAGTGTGGGAACAAGACAGTGGTCTGGACTGTCTCACTGCAGCTGCCGTGTGGGTCTGGTGGCAAGGGACGGGTCAGTCTGGAGTCCCTGCTGTTGAGCTGGTGGCTGTCAGGAGGATGACCTTGGCTGGAAGTGCCAGAAGCTAGATGCAGCTCCGAGTCTGGAAGACCAGGTGGCCTGGGAGTGGGCCCCTTTGGCTCCGCTCTAAACCTTCCTGCAGGCAGGGACCTTGCGTCTGTGGTGGGTGCCCTGCCTCAGCCTCAGGTTGTCCCACCTTGGGGTCAGACACAGATGGGCCTGTCTGATGGCTGGCCGAGGAGATGCGCCAGGAATCTCTGGCAAGTGAGGGCTCTGGGGAAGTGGTCAAGAACATGGACTTTGGAGGCCAACTGTTGGCATCTGAATTCTGCCCCACCACTTACTAGCTGCATGACCTTGGACAAGTTCCTACACTTTTGGCCCTTAGTTTTCTCATCTGTACAATGGTGAATCCACATAAAGTGCTTAGAATAATATCTGGCTCACAGTAAGTGTTTAGATGAGAACAAGCTATCATTGTTATTATGACACTAGGGAAGGACAAGTTAGGGTGCTGATGGAGCATTAAGACAAGAGGGGTGATTCTCAGCGATTCTGAGGCAGCACCCTAGTGCAGGCCACTGTGGGCTTGCCCCTGACTCCTACGGAGAGCAGAGGTCAAGTGGAAATGAAGGAGAGGTTTTCACTAGAACTCTGGGTGACAGTGGGGGCCTGTGTTGCTGCCTATCAGAATGGGTGGAGGGGAGAGACAATACTCCCTTTGGCAGAGAACAGCTCAGCAGGGCGGCAGGAGTCAGCAGAAAGGGACAGTGCCTGGCAGGTGTGCTTGGGAGCTGACTGGGCTTTCTCTGGGCTTCCTGCCAGATACCCTTGAAGTTGTCCAAAATAGCTGAGGGAGACTTTGCAAGGGTGGATGGTCTCATTTTAGAGGAGGTGTGGAAGTCTTAAGAGCTGGGTTATACTTACATCAGATACTAGTCCCTTGGGTGGGAAATGATCAAGGACTCTGGTGGGGAATGGATCTGGTTAGAATACCTCCTCTGTCACTTACTAAACTGTAAATCCTTGGAGAGCAGGGGACATCTTATTCATTATGGAATACAAAGAGGGATTCAGCATGCATGAATGAATTTAGCACCCTGGAACCTCAGTTTCCCCATCTGTAAGGTAGACAGAGCATAATGACCACTGAAACTGACACAGGATTACATTAGACAATGTCCACAGGTGTGCAAAGTCCCTAATGAATACTATGTTCCTTCTTTTTTACTGTAAATATTCAGTATCTTGCTCAATATCAAAACAATGTATTTGTTGATTTAAACTGATTTATGATCTTTTAGTGCAGTAAATGTAGTCCATTCTACATCTGCCAAAGATGAGATCCATTGAGGGGAAATCATACCTCTTACAGTTTTCCCCCCAATTTGATCAGTGCTTTTCAACCATTATTTCTGACTCAATGCTTTCTGACAAAAATCAAAATATGATGATCTAATGGTGAGCATTGTTGGATTTTAGGAGAGTAAAAGATTGTAGATAGGTTACTAAATAATTGAAGCATTATGATCTGACTTGGAAAAGCTATAATGTAGGAAAAATACTGATTTGGACTCCAATATACATAATATGTAAACTACTTATTATTATTTAATATAGTAATATAATTTAATACATTGTTTAACTACTATTATTAACTGACACATTATTATTAGGCTTTTTCTTCCTACACATGTTTAAAGTGCCCCATCTTGGTCGGGCAAGCTTGGTGTAATGGAGTTGTTACCTGCTTTCATGCCTATGACAGCTCCATAAGAACTGGCTGAGCATCCATGGGAAGGGGCCTGTTTTACCTCTGGCCCTCTTTCTCCAGCTTGGCTCTTCCCTGTCAGTCTTCCATGCTGTGCCCCTGGCAGCCACGTACCTAAACTTACTGAATCTGACCTTCAGTTTAAATCTATCATCAAATCAACTTGCTCTAGTTTACACGTGGTTCCAGTCCTCTTCTATGTTGCAGAACGTATAGGCTTTGTTGCTGCTGTTTGCTTCAGAATTGGCATAACCTTTGGTTAGCTTCTGAGGGCTGAAGTGGTGTTATGGATGATTGAAGTTGCTTGCTATTTAACTGTCAGAGAAGGATGGGTAGGCTGAACTTAATTTTTTGAAAGAACAAAGCAAGTATCAAATGTACTGCATGCTAATGCCAATATGCCTTAATATGATTTGATTAAGTATCACCACCTATTGATTGACTCAGTGTTTATGTTTACATCTGTTTGATAAGGCATGCTGTTAAGAGTAAAGTTAAGAGGTAAAATTGTAGCTTGGAAAGTTTCTCCATCAGAAAGTTTCTACATTCTTCAATTCTGTTTCAAGATCAGAGAGACCATCTTCCTCTGCAGAAAAAATTATTTATTGATGTGGGATAAATTATTTTGAAGAACAAGCCAGGGCTACTTAATGAGAGTACTTTTGAGCATATTAGCTGAATGGTCCGAAAAACAAAAGATATCAAAAAGTGAATCACCACTGTCAGATGAAAGCTTTTAACATTTTAATCGATATAACTATAATTAGTATACAATATGTCTTACAACAAATGTAGATACAGTAACATCAAATATCAGAGAAGTTGCACATCTTTCCATCTTTAAACGATGTCAGCTAACTCACTGCAAGGAGATGGCCTGGCACTGGTCTCTTGGTTAGCACTACTACCAATATTAACTAGCAGTTTAAAATCAAAGTTGCAATGGTACATTCATTTGCCAAAAAGAAGTTAAAGGCAAAGAAGGTGAATCAATGTGCAAATCAATGTGGCCTGGTTGCAAAATTCATTTCCGGGATGCAAGGGACTGAACCACACATCCTTGAAAGCAAGATGAAGGGCAAACAGATGACATCAAACCAAAGTCAACTCCACAAAGAACTCACACTTCAGGATGGTCAAGGCCAAAGGTCAACTGCTGGCAGTAACCACACTGTGTTACTTTAACCTCCTGGACCCTAGCTCAGTAGTCTGTGAGACCTGTGTCCTGGGCCATCTTTTCATTTGGAGATGGAAACCATCCCTCATGGTCCCAGGCAGGATAACCTGCAGTCAGCCGTCAGCCTCATGGGGGTAGCCTGGAGCTGTAACAGCTGTCTGATGTGGCTGCAATACAGCTATTGTTTTATAGATTTTAGTAAAAACAACACAGCACTATAACAACAAACAAGAAATTAAGATCACATATGTATCTATGTAATACTTAAAACGTTGATAAATATTTTTCTCCAGAAATTGAAAACACTGTAGACATGATTTTTATTAGTCCTCACAACACATTTGTGAGGTAGTGTGGGGTAAGAGCTGATGAAAGCATCATCCCCGTGTAAGAAATGAAGACACAAATGTCCAGGGAGGGCAGGAGACGTTCTCAGGGCCACAGGAGAAGAAAACAAGGTTGAATCTCACTCTTGCATCGTTTGCCATCTGTGATCTAGAAGAGGCCGCTTGCCTCCCTACTGCTCTGACATCCCCTCTGGCATGTCATGACTAGGCCTACCCCTGATGGCATGTGCCTGTCTTCTATACACTGGAGCCTTTTCCCTTGGGTAGATGTGAACAGACTCTCTCCCTGAGGTAAAGGATGTCAGTAGTAAGCATATATTTCAGGGGTGTGTGTATTTTAAGCAACATTTGTTGAATAGTTGTTAAAATATTTTGGCCAACTCAAAAACAGAAAAATGCACTTGGCAAAATAAGGTTCAGCCTTTAGGTCTTTCATACTAACATAACAAGAAATGTTAGAGATTTTAAGGGCAGCTGTCACCTCCGCCTTAGGTCCAGGTCCCTCTCTCTGCTGTAAGGATTTGGAAGTGAAGAAGAGCAACAAACCCATCAAATGCTCCTGGACAACTGCAGTCTTTGGCGAGGAAAGATGCTTGCCAGGTCTGGGTTTCAGAACTGGTCAGGAGTTCCTGGGAAGAAGCTGGTCCTTCTGACCCTCTCTTTATGACTGAAGCAACATCCAGAAGAGCACCTCTCCAAAGGCGTTTCATGGACATTTTGTCAAATATTTGTGGCTGGGGGAGGGAAAAAAGATGTGGACTGTCCTGTTCTTATTGAATTGTCCTTCGCTGTACTGAGACTTTAGAAAGGGGGTCAGGGTAGAGAACAGGTCCAAGCATGGCCAGAGAGGACACCCTTGGTCACTCCTGGACATTTTTCTGAGAATGTTCACTCTGTTTTTGTTTTTAATAATCAGAATTCCTGGAAACCTACTTTTCTCATTACACTCCTGTTATAAAATACCACTGGGGGTTTCTCATTCTCCTTTGGTGCCTAAGGAGCGTAGGATTAATTTCTTTTCAGAGTGTGCGATAGCAGGTTGTGGAAAGTGGCACAGATTCTAGTGTCTCTGACACCAGAGAGGATTAAAGCAGTGTGGCTACTGTGGTTTTCATGTCAGTGCCTCGCTGGGCTGCAGTGAGTGACAGGGTGAGCCAAGGGTCAAATTTCTGGAAACTAAACAGACTCATGGCAGAGGGTCCACATTTAATAAATAAAAATCGATCCAGTTTCAAGTTCTTTATGACATTGCATGACAATATAATACATTTTGAAACAGGACCCAATGTATGTTTTCTACCCCATAAAATCAGAACATAAGACCCTGGTTAATGTTACAGGAGGACAGTTTTAGCCATGAACCAACCTACCTAGAAAGCAAAGAGAAATGAAAAGGCAATCACGCATTGCCCCAAACAACCCATTCACTGACAAACTGAATACTTTTTAGACCAAATGTTACATCATTTCCTTTAAAAATAAAAAATATTTCTAATCTGGGAGGTTTCGTTTTGTCACAATGGGCATCACAATCAATCAGGGTTTCTCAAACCCAGCACTCCTGGTATTTTGGGCCAGATGATTCCTTGCTGTGGGCTCTCCTGTGCCTCGTGGGATGTTCACTGCACCCATGGTCTCTACCTGCCAATAACACCTCCCAGTTGTGACAATCAAAAATACCACCAGACTTCCAAATGTTTCCTGGGGGAAGCAAAATTGCCCACTGGCTGAGAACCACTGCAGTAAATGGATGCCTGCAAAGGTGATCAGTTCTCTCTCAAAATTTGTGATAATGAGTTTTAAGACTGTATCAGGAGGGTTCATTTCTTAAAGGGCAGAATTAGTACAGTAGGTGTATGGGAAGAATAATAGATTAATCATGGTGTCTGTTTCCCGTGCAGATGCCTCAATGAGCAATTGCAGACAGACAAGTCCAATTTTTTTTTAAAACAGGTTACAGCCATTAGCCAACAGACAGCAAGGCAGTGAACTAGCTGCTTTGTGGTTATGAAGGAGGATTCTATGGGCTCCTCCAAGCAGTGGATGTCTCTGACAGTTACTGAGGGCTGACTCCCACATTCCCTAATGAGGTGCTCAGGGCACATCAGCCCCTCCCCACCACCCCCACTGTACACTCACTCCACTCGCCTCTCTCTTGCTCTTCCATAACTAAACTCATCTCCTAGCCTTCTCCTATGGGACCACAGCTCCACTGAAACCTTGTGGCTGGATCCCTGCTGCAGCTGACTAGAAAGGGCATCCTTAGCAGAGATGGGTAGAGGCAAGCTGCGATCTGATAGCAACATGCTACTTGGCCCCTTGGCCTGCTAGCCTCCTCCAGGCACTGTCTGGTTTCCTCTTTCATTAATTAGGCAGCTGAGAAGCTGGGATCCAGCTTGTAGAGCCACAGGTATCCTGTCAGACACAACCAGATAAACAAAGATTTTAAAAAAGAATCTGAGAAACCCTTGTTTCCATGCCTTCAGGATGAAATCTTCCCAGGGCTCATTTCCTTTCCCCTCATTGAGATTTTATGTAATTTCCTAAAAAAAAGTTTAAGAAATATCACAAACAAAAAGTTGCCCTGAAAGTAGCCCCCGATGAAAGAACTGTATCCCTCTCCTCTGTCCTCGGCGTGGGTCCTGTGGTGGGTACAGGGCCTCCCCCTTGGTGGTTGGGCCTGGCCAGCTCCAGTTGGCCCCTTTCAGCTGCAAATCAGCCTTACTCACCTTTAAATAATGGTTCTTTTTTGGACCAGAAAGGGGAAGTTGTAGCAGCCAGCAGAGAGGGAGGAAAACAAAACAACCATACCAACAAAACAGGGCTTAAGATTGTCGCTTGATGTGCATCAGGTTCTTGTTATTAATTCTAGTGGATAAGCACTTTAAATAAGGAACAGTTATTCCTTATCCCAGGACACGTTCCTTTGTTAGGAGTCATCATACAGAGGATTGTTGTAGTTTCCCCAGGACCCATAGTCGTGGTCATCCAAAAGCCTTCCGTAGGACGAATGCCTGGTGGGAAGGACAGGAGGATCATGGTTACTTGGAGAAGTTGCTCAATTGAGCACAGATGAGGCCCCTGCAGGCTGAACTGGGAGGCTTACAAGGCCTGAAAGAGGGAAGACATGATTCTTCCACAAGGACTTGGATACAGACCCAGCAATGGTGGAGGCCCCAGTCTACAAACACCCTTGAGTTGTGACTGATGAGTGTTGCCTTCCACTGAGACCAGCTGGATCTTTGTCTCACTCCTTGACCTTCAGAGCTAGAGAAGGAAGGGGCCCCATTTCCACAGTTACTTAATGAGAAGTAAGGGGTAAGGGAAGGTTGCATTCTTGGCATTTCGACTTAGATCCTGGACTTAATTTTTGCAGAAATATTAATGACACAGCCACACCCACGCTGGCACTCACCACCCCTCCTGACATTTACATAGTGTTTTGCAATCTACAAAGTGCTTCTGTGTTTTGTTTTCACTTGGTCCCAAAATAAAACCATGGGACACGTATTGTTTATCCTTATTTCTCTGATGAGGAGAAAATGGGGCTCAGAGGTGTTAACTGACATGCCAAAGTCATCCATTTGAGCTGTGAGTCAAATCCCACCTCCTGGGTCTAAATCCCAGAGTTGGATTAGGACCTTAATTCAATGGCAATATAAGGTTAAACAGGCTTTGGTGGGTCATTCTAGGAACCTGTCCCACAATTAATATTATTTCTATAAGAAACTGAGATCAGAGTTATCACTCCTCTGTTCAAACTTTGAATGGCTCCCCATCTCACTCAGAGTAAAAGCCAAAAAAGTAATGCATTATTGTGGTTTGCAAAGTTCTATAGGATCTGACCCCTGTTACTTAGTTCTGAGCACATCAGCAATTGTTCCAGTCCCTCCTGCTCCCTTTGCTCCAACCACACTGGCCTCCTGGCTCTTGTCCTTCATTCCAGCCACACTCTTGCCTCAGGGACTTTGCACTTACTGTTCCCGCAGCTTGGAACAACTGTCCTCCAGATCTCTGCATGCCACATTCCCTAATCTCCATAGAATCTTTGCATGAATGTCTCCTCCTCATGAGGCCTTTCTTAAAAACTCCATTTAACTTACCACTTCCACCCCCAGCACCCTGGCTTAATTGTTTGCATACTCAAAATCTTCTAACATACTACTTAATTGATTTGTTTATTCTGTTATGACCTCTTTCTCATGTCTAAACTGTAGTATGGATGGTTTGTTTTGCTCTATCTCCAGCACCTAGAAGAATTATCTAGTACACACTAAGTCTTCAATAAATGTGGAAGGAAGAGTGACTGGAAGAAAAAGTCCTGAAACAGCCAGTCTGTTCCCAAGTTGGGAGCTTCCCACAGAGGATTATAGTCATTCTAAGACTAAAATTAATGACAGGGTTGTAAGAACATCACAAAATAAGCATTTGGTGACTCTGAGGTCCACACTAGAATGTGAATTATTGCACCTTGCCACTGGAAATCATGTCTGCTATATATAGTAGAGATAAACATGCCCGTGGCCCCTTCCCCCATTTTTTCTCATCTAGATATGAAAATGAAGCAAAATGAAAATACAATCTGAGAGGCACAAAAAGGATTTACTATACTTACATCTGTTGCTAAAATAATTGCTGTAGCTCTTCTGAAGCTTATGTATGCCAGGTATGTGAAAAGAGATGATCTGTTGCAAATAACTAGGCCCCTGCTGTGTTGAGATGCTTAGCCTTCCAAATTCTGATTCTGTCCTGCAGATTGGCTCAGCTGAGCAGTCTATACACTTGGAAACATGAGGACGTTCCATAATACACTTTGTTTTCCCTAACAGACCACATTCACCTCTGTGGGTGTGAGAAGGAAAGACTCCACATGTAACTCACCCCTGGTCTCCTGATGGACAGGAGCAGGGGAGGCCGTGTTTGGTAGATGAGGTCACTTGGCCATCTCTTGCCAACAATCCCCCACACTGAACGCCTCTAATTCCAATCAAATCCTTTAACAGGATGGTTGAGAAATGGAAGCTATAGATTGACCAAGTAAAAACCCGGTAATTACAAGACTGGAGCCAGGCCTGCATTTCAGCATGACTTATTGTTGCAAGTCTGGCCAGCATCCACCTGATAATCATGTTCCTTTATTGATAGGGTACTCCTTCCTCACCTTCGAGGAGTAATTGAACTTCTCACAGAGTTTTTATATCAGATTATTTTATTTCCATAAATATCTGTTGGGTCAAGAGATGTATGTCCTTGAATATATTTTTAAAACCCTGTTTCTTCATCTATAAAATGGAGAGGCTTAAAAAACATTGCATTAGAGGTGTTAGGAGGATTACATGACGTAATGCATATAAAAGGCCTGGCACACAGTAGATGCACAATAAAGGCTGGCCAACATTGCTTTTGAATTTTTATTTATAATGAAACTTACACCAAGCACATGGCAAGTCTGCAAATAATAAAAAAGGGCATGGACTCTTTCCCTCCAGGAACTCTGGAGACTACACCCCAGGCATAGTATAAAACCAGCTTCTTATATTACTGTTATTCGGACATTTGAAAACTATTATGCTGAAGTGGGGTCAGAAGATTAAAAATGTCCTGGTCTTCAGGTTTTACTGCTTATAGTTATTTTAGGGAGACTATTTGATCAGAGCTGTACCTGAATCTGCTGTATTATAAGAGACATCTATTACACAAACACTGGTAAGATAAAGGACAAAGACGGATCTTTAATTTTCTTTTGCCTTCTTATTCGGATGAACAGTGAGTTGAACAAAATACTGATAAATGAGGAAAGTGAAGCAAGAGCTATAGCTAAGTCATATTTGGGAATGTACAGAACCCGTAGGGCTTAATATATTAATGAGCCTAAACAAGAAGAACAGGGTGTACTGGGATTCAAGCCAGGTTTGGATAAACCCAAAAATACTGTAGAAAGAGTAAGACAAATACATGTGTGTGTATGTGTGTGAAATATGAGGAGAATAATTAATTGGCATTGAAAACTATCTCTCTAGGTCAGAACTTCTTAAATCATGGTACATTTTAGATGGAAATGGGAGGTTTTCAGATTGGCATTTGTGGAGTCCAAAAGGTCAAAAAACTCCCACTCCCAGGATTAGGAAAGTGGGGCACAGGAATCTGAATGGGCTTGTCCTCGTGATACAATGGTAGAGCTGGTACTAACACCTAGTCTCCTGGCTCCGTATTGCAACACTGCTTCATCTAATTTCAGTGTGAATAGCAGTCAGTCTGAATGACATCACTGTCAGGTCACAGCAGTCTCGTTCAGTAAATTTCTTCATAAAGACTGGTACCCATGCAGCACAGTGAAGCTCCCATTTGCTGGGCCTTGGGTCCTTTTGACAGTAAACCTCCTGGGGGCAGACTACCTCTTACTTTTAATTTTCTGAACATATAGTATGTTGCTTTTGATGCAATGGTCTGTCTAAATAAATATGATGGTAACTGTTGACATCCAGTATATATGGAGTTTGCTTGGTCATTAATGGCTGGGATCAGCATGGCCTACCTCCTGGGGGCAGACTACCTCTTACTTTTAATTTTCTGAACATATAGTATGTTGCTTTTGATGCAATGGTCTGTCTAAATAAATATGATGGTAACTGTTGACATCCAGTATATATGGAGTTTGCTTGGTCATTAATGGCTGGGATCAGCATGGCCTGTGACAGTTCATTGTGTCATGTAACTATGGCAAAGTGAAAATATCTTAGTACAGCACACAAAGGGCCAAGTCACCGTTTTGACCTTAAATATAAGAAGAGGAAAGAGAATTACACTCTCATGTAATGATGTGGCTTTACAGCACTCAGCATAGTGCTTACAGTCCCTGGTAATCAAGGGCACTGTGCTTACTGTCAATGCTGTCCTACTGTATTGCATGATTTAGTGAGCAGAAAGCAGAACTCGAGGGGGACAAAATAGGGAATGATTTATGTTAAGCCCTGGCCTTGTTGCTTCCTTCTCCCGTGGCTTTGCTCTAATAGGAAGCAGCCCCCCTACTCCCTCCCTCCCTAACTGTTGGTGACAACTCATATATGTGATGGTGACATCTGTGGGTTGAGTCATTGTCCAAAACTGTAAACTTGTCTTTGAAAATGAATGAGGTGTTTTACTGTCCTTGTTTTGGAACAAACTTATTTTATAAGGGTCTCTTTTATAAGGATCAACCCCATTCTCCATCAGGTCTCCAACTTGGTTTATCGCTGCACCTCCCAAAGTCCTTTCCTCTTCAGGCAATCAAGTCTTGTCATTCAATCATTAGTGCTTATTATGTGCTTAGAAGGTGGGATATAAAGATGAATAAGATATGGCTTAGTGCTGGGGAAACACAGCTGAACTGGCAGCTCATTAGTCATTAGTCATTAAGTCCTATACTCTTATCATCCATTAGCAAAGCCAGTTTGGTGCTGTCACTGTCTCCTTTGTTTCCATTGGTGGCTTTCTTTCTCTGACTGTCATTCCCGGCCAGACTCTTTCATTTAATTATTCACTGAAATCTGGCCATCTATCAGGACCTATTCTGGGGGTGGGGAACGCCTCAATGAACCAAACAGACCAGAATCCCTGTCTTAAGGGAGCTTCCATTTGAGGGGGCCCAGACCCAATATATAAGAGGTGAATAACAATAGGGTGTATGGTAATACATGCAATGGAGGAAAATAAAGCAGGGAAAGGGAATGAGGAGTGTGGATGTGAGGTGGGGACTGTGATTTTGAATATGGTGATCAGAAAATGGCTCCCTAAGGTGACATTTGGGCAGACCTGTAAAGGAGCAGTGGGGTGAACCATGTGGAGGCCTGAGAAATACCCTACAGACAGAACAAGTGCAGAGGCTCTGAGTCAGGAGTGAGCAACACATCTGTGTGGTAGCTACTGAACTCTATGGTTTTTTCAAAACAAACTTTGATTTTAGGTTTATAGAAATATTGCAGACAGTACAAAGAATTTCCATTTGCTCCTCACCTAGCATCCCTTGATGTTAACA